GGGGGGAGGGGCAGAGGTACAAATCATATAGATAAGTCTATCTCCGTCGGAGACGTCTCCGAATAGATACTGCGGATAACAGTATTACCCGTGCGCCGCACCGCCATTAGACGAATTATACTACTCACCATTGAAAGCAGAAGATGAGCGTGATTCGCGCGGTGTACCAACCCCTGAACACATCAATGTAGGAATACTTCTGTCCGCTCTCTCTTGACTTCTGTTCGTGATCGGCAATAGTCTGGTGTGGGGTTGTTGTAAGTAAAGAGGTAGAAGTTGTAATTCTTGTGAAATCATCATCATCATCATCATCATCATCATCATCATCGTGATCATTGTCGTCCCCGTCGATGTTGTAAAATATGATTTAAAATATCATTTTAATGAGACTTGGATATCATGTTTTCGAAAGAATTTCACTTATAAACTCTGGGCTTCTTCTTGTTCTTTAAATTAAAAGTGAATCCAGAATCTAGCAGAAAATCGAACATTGGGCAAAAAACAACAACAAGTAGGTCCATATGTTTGCTGGCAAAAACTGAAATTCAAGTGGCCAATCACCTTTAAGATGTTTTTGTATTTTGGAGGAAGCGGTTTGTTGTTGACGGCAGCTATTTTCTCTGTGACCTTCTCTGCTTCCTTGAGGCGACCTTGAACCGTAAGCCACCTCAGGCTCTCTGGTACATACCTGGAAACAGAGAATTTAATGCTGTACATAGTATAAATAATTTTTTTATAAACATATATACTCCGCTACACTAAAAAATAAAACATTTTAATGTTCAAAGTGACAAAGAAAAGTTAACGAAATGTTAGTTGCTAGCCAGAGTATATTGCCCGTGCCAGTATGTCCGTACGTGTGTGTATCTCTCTGTGTTTGTTAGTGTGTGTGTGTCAGCCCTCGAGTGCATTCTTATTTCTTATTGTATTATTATCATGTGTGAGGGCTGTGTATTTATGTGAGTGTGAATGTGTGTGTGTGTGTGTGTGTGTGTGTGTGTGTGTGTGTGTGTGTGTGTGTGCGTATTATGCTATGCTCTTTGCTGTGTCTCGTTATTAGCTTTGGCACAATAATATTATAGGAAAGCAATTTTTACACGTGCAAATATACACATATACGCACGCTCGCACGCACACACACACACACACACACAAACACACACACACACACACACACACACATACACACACACACGCGCGCGCGCGAGCGCGCGCATCTATATTATATAAACATATACACGCACAAACACATATACAAACAATGCTCAAATTAAGCCTGTCTGTCTGTCTGTCTGTCTGTCAGTCTGTCGATCTCTCTCTCTCTCTGCCTCGTTCTCTCTCTCTTTCTCTTTCTCTCTCTCTTTCTCTTTCTCTCTCTCACTCTCTATCTCTCTATCTCTCTCTCTATCTCTCTCTCTATCTCTCACTCTATCTCTCTCTCTCTCTCTCTCTCTCTCTCATAATACTTTGACACAAAAATGATAACAGGTCACTAATGCGCTGCACCATGCGTGGTATACCCATTTCACTCATTAGCATATGCGTACATGCCAGAAACCAAAAATAAAAATATAAACATTACAAAATTCGTTAATTCTTTTATAAAAGAACATCAGGGTCAGGGTGACCTAAATGGATAATAAACCACAATGAGCAAAGATGTCTCGCTGAAGAAATGTGTGTTTGAGCATGGGTGGACGTGTTTTGACAACATATGGAAAAACTTCGATCAAACAGTGGTCAAGTATGGCCCAGCTCTTCGTATGCAAGGTCATTTCCCCCTGCAAGTCGTCGGTGCAAACCACTAGACACAGATTATTATGGGCAAAACACTTCTGGAAAGAGGACATGCCACTAAAAGACAGCAGGTTTTAGCACCAGAGTGATTCGTATGCATATACTTAAGCCGAGCTTTTTAAATGAGTCTATATTGTTGGATAAGTAGCAGAAAAATCTTAATTGGAAGCTCTCAATCCTTATTAATTAATTAATTATTATTAATTAATTAATTAATTGATTAATTAATTAATTAATTAATCTATGTATGAGACACGCTGCTCCGAATCTGCATTTCAAGGCTTACCCGGTCTAATTCAGATGTAACATCCCGGCATACGGACGGAGAGATTGAGTAATTTATTTTCCCATTGTAGGAATCAAACTCACGTCTTCTGTATGCAACGCGAAGTGCCTAATCGACCACAGGTACCAGTTATACAGGTTTCCAGTGAAACAGTAAAGTCATGTTATGTACCTAAGATATGCTGGAGATAGTATATTACAAATCTTTGGAATTAGTTTTGTGTAGCTTACATTGAGTTTCTGATTTAATTATTGGCTTACGCTTTTTCCTTTTTTTTTTTCAATTTTGAATTTTCAAGGTCATCTCTTCTGGAAAAGAATATTTAGCAAACCACAAAGTATTTCTCTATTAGAGAAGCACAGTTTGCG